AATTAATGTTATTTTCCTTTTGATGCTCGGTATAGTCTCTAATTGAATAGAAACTGTTATGCAGCAAAAAATATTTTACTTGGAACTAAAACTTTTCTAGCGAATTTAATCGTTTAATGTTATTTATCAAAGTGTTGTAAAATAGTGTACATGTATCGTATGTTATTTTTGAATGATTTGGATCTAATGAATATGTTTACTTCGTCGAGTGTTATAGTTATATACATCGACGTTTACTGAAAATATATTCCCGTCCTTCAGTAAAGTCTTTTTCTTGTAGGCAAAAACCACTGATTCGTAAATAAAGAGACAAGGTAAAATTCCTAGATTAATAAAGAGATGCTTACAAGAATGTAGAGGGTTGGATTTGCTTAATTTTCGTACAATTGTTTTTTGTAATCTAAAAGTCTAGGAGCTATAAGATGTATTTTCCCAGAATATTATGCCAATGTAATTTGTTATTACGCAGCCAATTTAAAAATCTGGTATTGTACTATTTTTAAAGCTCATTTGTTGCAAATAATTTTCGTATCATCCGCAAACACAACTGATCTTACATTCCGAATCGTCGAGGGCATATCGTTTACGTACAGTAAGAAGAGAATAGAGCCTAAAATCGATCTCTGCGGGACGCCACGTGCAATTGGGAAAGAGAAAGGTGTATAAATAATGTTCCATAATTCCAGTAAGGTATTTATACTTTCTGAGGTTGTTATTTAAGGGACGAACATAACCAATCTAGAATAACACAACGGATTCCATACGAAGGTAACTTTGAAAGTAAAATGTTATAATCAATTACGTCAAGAGCTTTTGGAAGATCTAAAAATATTCCAATAGGTGCTTCGTTTTGATCCAATGATGAGGTGACATCTTTATGAAAATAAAATATAGCTGTTTCTGTAGATTTTGATTTTCCAAATCCATGTTGGCAATCTGAAAAATCGTCGTTCTTACTGAAAAAGGTTTCTCTTCGTACGTTAAAAAATCTAATATTCTTTTTATAAAACGGACAAAAGAGAAATTGGCCGATAATTTAAAATTTCATTTCAGTTTTGAAAATATCTGAAAAAAATTCCAGTACATAAGAACGTTGTGACCTGTCAACCTGAGCCGGCTGAAACGACACATTCCTCAGAATGTTTAGACATCTCTCTCGCTCGGAAACACCAATTGGCTAACTCTAATTATCCGAATTGCGTAGGAGAATGGTGCGACGATTCTACCCTTTGGGTGTTCGAGCAGAGTTTTCTTGGTAGTCCCTTCGAGCCTTCTCCGGTAATGAGTTGTACAAATCTGGATTTTTTTTTCGGGCAGCCGTGGGACACAAGTAGCGGAGGTTGAACGAACCTCTGATTCATACTAAAGATTTGTACCGATCTATTTAGACGTATTTATTTACTTATTTTTGTTAGTAACGATACAAATGTCATACGTTTACGTTTTGAAGTCATTTGAAACCCAAGTAATTATACGTATTTGTCGGTACTTTGAGACCCTCTAGATAAAGTGCACATGTAACATGTAAAATTTAATTAAAATTACCTTTTATTACTGCTCTCTTCTTTCCGTTGCTATTACATCTTCTAAAAGACGCCTGAAATTCAGAGATAATATTATATGCATAATACATTTATCAATATTTCCAATAAACAAGTAATTTTTGTTATTAATATCTACAAAATCTATATTTCTACATTAAAATCTTAACACATTTGTTAACAATACTTATATTTAAAACCACATATTAATATCGCAATGGTGAACAAATTCAAACGCAAAAAACAAATGAATTACGAAACCAATAAAACAGATCAAATGACTTCATCTAACGAACACATTCGATGTACATAGTGTAAAGAGTGTAAAGTTTAGTGTAAAGAGAACAAAGTACAAAGAAAACTAGTACTTTCTATGGAATTAAAGAAAGAGAAGATTAATAAAACACCTCAATAAAGAATAAAATGAAAAAAACACCTCAATTCAGTCTCATAATCAATGCAAATATAATAATATCGCAATTTTCAATAAAGGTTTATTTAGTAACATAGAAATATGTTCACACTTCCTTAAAAACATTTGAAATAATTATTCAATCTTCCTTGACAGTTAGTTAAAATACAGGATCGGGCAAGAACAACCCTACTCTTTGCAATATTATTTAACTTTCCTGGATTTATTATGAAGAAAACAGGCGGTCTTGTAGGGGCAAGACGCCAGCTTGCTGGGGAGCAAAAATTGAAAAAGTATCGTATTTGTGTACTAAAAAGTTTCGGATTATATTCTGCATACTTCAAGAAAAGCAAATCCGAGCCAAGGTAATAAAACTAAAATATATTCACATTTGAGTAATAATTACCATTTGTTACCATTAGAAACAATTCATGAGGCATCAATTCAGTTCACTCACATTCGTCCACAATTAGGTAAACAGCACATGTAGGCCTCGTCAAAACGTTAAAATAATGTTTTCACTACTCTCATGAGAAACAATCTTCATCTGTATTAAGCCACTATTACTATACAGTATTGTAGTATATCTCTTGTGTGCGGACGTTCAGTTTTTTTTTTTTTTTTTTTTTTTTTCCACTTCCAGTGCACCAATCGAGAAGCATAAGGTGTTATTCGACGCGTCTCGGTCTCCTGATGGGGAACTGATCATTTGTTTTTGGAGCCCGCTAGAAGATTTAAAGAAATTTCTAAAAACGTGGTTTTTCGTGTTTTGGTCTGCGATCTTAGTGGTAATGCCAGAAATTAAACCAACTAAATCGATCTATGTAGGTGGCGTTGATTAAATACCAGAACCCAAAGGCATTTTTGCGTAATACGCCGTAATGTTCTTTTACGACCTGGGCAACACTGATGTTGACATCTTTAAGTGTACAATTGAATTACCAGGTAAATCATGGTGCAGTTTGATTTCAATTGAGTCGAATTATTAACGTAATTAAAAAAAATAAACGTACTGCCTCGGAACGTATTCAACTTGAAAAATTTCAAGTGTATACGGAGAAAACAAGTGTGAGTAATTATAGAGAATAAATGAATGTGTTTTCGATTTCGCTCTTTTGCTTTCTTACATCAGTGTACAATTACTGATTTTCAAATGAATGTGAGCCACAACTTATTCATATTTATAATAACTAATACACTATTCCCATAAACATACGAAAAAGTCACCTTTTAATGATAGAGTTTTAATGTCTTTAAAAATTAGGGGAGACAAATTTGGAATAAGGAAATCCTGGGAAGAATCAAATGTACTTGTAAAATATACTGCGATATAATTTTCGGAATTAATTTGGAATGATCTGTATTTTTCATTTAGCATTTGTGCTAATAGAAATGTGCTATGTGCATTTTTGTGCACATTACCAGAAAAGCGTAAAACTGTAGATGTACTTAAATTTATCTGTTAGCATGAAAAACTGCAAGTATTTGTTACGACGAATATCATTTTGAAATTGCAATAACACCAGTTCATATCCCGTATGGAGATAACACACAAAACCATTGGGTGTTGGGAACTTTTGAACGGGATTATAACATTACCAGCTACTACGATTCATTGTTAAGTCCAATACCAGATACGGAAAGAACATATTTAAACAAAGCTGGGCATGAAAGAGATGAAATATGAAAGAAATTTTCAACTCATGAAACTATTTTTAAAACAGTTTAAAGAGTCAGCGGCGCCACATTTTGCTAGTTAATAGTTCTAATTGTTTCTGCGAGAGGGAATCTTACATTAATAATTATGCAAATAAATCTCGTAATTATGCGAAAACTACAGTGTTAATAGGAAGTGTAATTAGTATAAGATAGAAGCATCTACGCCTTCTAAGCGTGACGTCACAAAGATATCATCACCATGTGTTGAAATATAGGTGGCATTGGTAGTATCGATAAGTACGGAACCAGGAAAAATTTAATAGAATGCCCAAAAAATATCTCATATATAGATTAAAGTGTAAGGAAAGTTTCTTTGACCTCAAAATTTTAGTTTTTAAGGCCCTAGAACACTTCTGTTAGGAGTTATTTAACGACATAGCTGACTGAGTGCTGCAGGTTACAAATGACATGAATATTTAGATGTGTTTTAAAACAAATCACCACATTTTTGAAGTTAAAGTGCATTTCGTCACATAGCCGTGAAATTCTATTTCTTTAGGCACCTCATTTATGGAGATCGGTTGCGTGTGAGAGCAGTAAAAGGTATGTATATCACTGAAATAATACAGGAGACAATACATCAACACGAATTCGATAATCCAAAATCCAGGAACACCATCCAACAATTAGTAGTTATTCCGATAATTTCGAAGTTCCATGTCGAGACGTTCCTATAATTGTATTCGTATTGCAACGTGAAAAATTCTAGAAAAATAGTAAAAAAAGATTAGTCGACAAAGTGACGATATGTTAATTGCCTTCACCGCATGACTTGGCTCAGGACAATAATTGCTGTCACTGCAGTGACTGATCCGGAGATTCTGGAGTGCGAGTCCCCATGGTGAAGGATTTTGAGCACTAGTTAAGTAGCGAGGCTGAATCTAACCGCTGACTGGAGGAGAATTCTAACGGTCAGCTGCTCTCATCAATAGTTTTCCATGGTGTCTTTGGTCAATACCATGCCAGTATCGTACCACGTCCTTTCAAAAGAGTCACGGACCACGCCCGATATTTCTTTACCCAATATTACCCCATCCTATCCCCTTACACATACGCACACGTATACTTGCATCACTATACTATCCCTGTACGTCGAGCCCGGAATCACAAAAATAATCAATCGTTAATTGCCTAGACGTTTCATATACTATGCTGACATATTTTATTAATTTTAAAAATCTGCTTAAAATGTAACAACTTGATTGGAGTAGAGAAAATGAAGGTAAAACATCGAAAATAATTTTCTATCTTAATTACAACAAATAGTAATACAAATTCATCAATGTTATAATGAACTCTTCTAGTGTCTTGGGCGGTGTTTGGGAACAATGGAAGTGAACGTCAGCGACTGGTTTTTGCTCTGTTCTAGGATGAGCGCCGCCGGTGAAAATTTCTCCACGTACCCCTCCACCACCAACTGGTTACTTGTAACTGCTGTAACGCTGAGCCTGTACGTCTTCGGAACGTGGAACTATGATTTCTTTCGGAAGCGAAATATCGCCTCCACACATCCCAAGCTGCCTTTTTTGGGAGACATGTTGGCGGAACTTTTAGGTCTCCGCGCGACTCCCGACAGCATTAAGCAGCGTTACAAATGGGGAAAAGGCCATGGTGTGTTTGGCTTCTTCGAATTCATGAAGCCCATCTTCTTAATTCGCGATCCGGAGATTGTGAAGGAGATCACAGTAAAGCAGTTTGGAAACTTCACAAATCGGCGACCCATTCCATGTGAAAAGTCAGATCCCCTATTCCACAAGAATATTTTCACGCTTGAAGGTATCGTCAAAAAATATTATTTAGTTATGAATAGTACTTGATTCAAACAATTTTATAAAAGTAATAGTAATTTACTTTAAAATAAAAGTATATAACGTATGTTTTAGGTCGCATCAACCACTTGATCGACCTCATTCTCAATACATTTACAAAACCCTTACAAACACATCAAAGCCGATTCATTTACTATATTGTAATCCATTAACAACCAATTAAATTCTCCGTGCATAGAGCTCGCCCGTTGTGTCAGTGCGCGCTGATGCATTGTTGAAACTATCTGATAGCATTTTTTTGTAAATTATGTCACTAGATTGTTATGCTGCTAAATTATACAACTATACCACTCCAAAGCGCCTGGTTATTTGAGTAAATTACGAGGTGGTAGTAGATATCTTGTGGTAATCCATAATGGGAGAAGGAAATAATCGTCCGCAAAAAGTATAATAATTTTATTAATTATTGCCTTGAGTTAACATTCGGGAAACACTTACCACCCTCAGTGGGTCTCTAGAAAGGAGGAAAAAATGAAAAATTAACATAAAGGGAGCGAAAAGAAATACAGTGAATTTATGTGGATTTAAGTTGGATTAGTCCTACAGGTATTCACGGAGGATTACTCAACGCTCATAGGAGCTAGGAAACGCGTTGGTACATATATATATGGAACAAAAGGGATGCCCCCGAAAATAAAAAGTATATGGTCATCCTCTTTCACACACCATTACACACAACTTTATGTCATTGCAAAGATTTGTACATGCGTATTAACGGCGTATTTTTGGTGAAGTAATAAATTGTTACCTTAATCTTTTCTGTTGTCCAGATGATACGTGGAGGAACATGCGTTCTAGATTGAGCCCTTCTTTCACCCCTAGCAAACTGAAAACAATGTTTCCAATCGTTTCGAAATGTGCCGAGAGGATGACGGACTATCTGAAGCAGAAATACGATGCTCTTCCCATTGCAGGTGAGTAAGAAGATAAAAGTTCAAATTCAATTGAAATGTTGAATTTTAAATCTCTCATTTTGCACAACTCACAATTCTCTTAAAACAGATATGCAATGGAAAATATACAATTATGTAAATTGATACCCTGTCAAAAGATCCGATGCAAAATGTTCATAGAAAAAATCCAAAAATGTTAATGACCAACGTATATCAATTCCCCAGTTATTAAAATGCTCAAAACATTCGGTAATTGAAAACAAAATTCCAAAATCTTTATTACTGAATTGTATAACACATAGAAATGTTCAGAATAAAAAAAATTTAACACAAGTGTAAAGTATGAAATTATTGTTTTATTCATAGAGCTATTCTTGCATATAAGGGTCTACTTTTCAATATAAATCCTACTTATAGCACTGCACTTTCTAAAAGTGTTGTACCAGAAACATCTGTTTTGTGCATGTTTGTTGGTTCCATTTTTCGTCATTGGGTATAAGAAAATAAACTTATCGTAATCATCGGAGGGTCACTCCGAGATCCATTCAAAAAATTTCCAATACAATTTTTACTTTCTCGCCATTAAGAATGTAAGAAGAGAAAGTACTATAATCGTGAGCCGGAAAACGGCGAATTTTCGACAGAAAAAATCTTATTGTTGTCCCCTTGTAAAGAAAATTTGGATACTTCCTTTTCTCAAATGCAATTGATTACTTTCTCTTACACGTGGAGTAGACAGTATCGTTAAAATCCCTGGTTTTTCGAAAATTACAAAATCATTTTTTTAGCGGCTTCCTACAACAATACTGAAGATAGAGATTCCCCCTTAATGAATTTTTTAAAACAGATTTTGAAACAAGGGCATGATCTATATTTCGAAAGTATGTAGGCAGTTAAAACTTTTTTTCAAAATCGCTCCAATTTTTTTTCTTTATTTTCATTATTTTCTTTGTTTAGCATTCCAATCACCAATCACTAATGTGGGTGGACGGGATGAAAATAAGGTAACAATATCACCTGATCTGAATGGAATATATTGGGGGTTGTAAATTGACGTGATTTTTAGGGCAGATTGACATTTCTGCTGAATAGCCACACTAATATATTCGAAATTATTTATATTTAAAAGGTGGCTGGTGATGTGTTACGGAATTTTTTACAAAAATGGCGACCCCACCGCTGCACCGATTACACGTTGTGTCATAGCGATACAGAATATAGGCGAGAATATAAATTTTCATCGAAGGGCAAAGATGGGTTTCCTGAATGCAAGCTACTTATTATGACAAAAGTGGGCTAGCATATGAATACTAGGTTTAACACCGTTTGTATTCCATGAAATGAGACGAAGTGCGGAATGAATGGCACTATTTATATGCACGATTTTATGGATAATATATTTTTATTGGTTGAAGGATGTAGTTTGTGAGAGAAGGAATAATTTGACTTAGTAGTCCGGAGAAGAAATGTTCTACCTGTTGGGAGATAAATTGTCCCACCTGGAAGGGCTGCTCAATGGGCGGGTGTATGGGCTGTTTGAAAACATCTGAATATAGCGGCATTTGGTTTAGTAATGATGGCTGTGAAATTCTACGACGGGAGCAATACGGTTCTTGTTGCATCGAGATAGGGATGGAAGGTGTAAGATGTGGATAGGCTACGGGAGGAGCCCTTGGAGGAGTTAATGAACGTGGATGATGGGGCATCGCTTGCTATGCGAATTGTTGTCGGATGGAGTAGCGGGCTGGGAATGATTTTCTATGGATAATTTTTTGATAAATTTCACAGTCGCGACTAGAGGACCGATGAGCCTTTCCGCAGAGTGAACATTTGGAATCGGTACTAGAACATTCGGCCGTGGCATGCGGCCCTGCACATTTGCCGCAACGAGGAGGATTACCACAGTTATTTTTTGTATGTCCGAATATCTGACAACCTCGACACTGCACTGGCCCAGTATATGAATAATATATGTTCAGAACAGTTCTTTTAGTTCATATATTGCCCTGCTTTCTGATGATTTCGTACGAGTCGCTGCACATTAAGGCCATGGTTTACGATTAGAATCAGTCAGGCTCGTTACTGTACATTCCCGCCTGAGATATGGCATAAAATTCTGGAGACACTCATCATGCAGTATTCAGACCTTTAGATTGCAAAAGAAAGTTATTCGAATAATAAAAAAATGCCATCCACGTGATCCCTTTCATTGAGCTTTAAATTGTACCACTCCCTTGCCTATAAATTTACGAATCTGCAATATTTGTCCAAAGTGAGTGACTTAACGGCAGAAACATATTTTCATGCAATACTGATATTTATAATTACAACACACGACGTAAAAATCACGTTCATCAAGTGTCAGTATCAACAGCTCACTGTCAGAAATCCACATACAATACCTTAACCACTTCTGTAGGTGGTCTGGTAATTACAATTGGTAAAAAAATGTAGGCCCTCGTACATGTTCGTTTTATAACGCCTTGCAAGATGACAATAAACAATTGAAGTCGAAATTGAAGTTTGAAATTGAAGTCGGTTCACAAATTTAAGTTAAAAGTAAAATATTTTTTGTTGCATAACTGTTTCTATACAATTAGAGACTATTAACAAAAAGAAAAAAATAATGTTAATTTTAACAAAACAGTGATATATAATGAATTAGTTTACATTTGTATTGTATACTTTTTTTAAAAGATTTAATATGTTTGCAACAAATAATGTACTTCAGCTTCCGGGTCAATGACCCCATGTTCATCAGGTTTTTGTCCAGTTTCCCTGAACCATTGAGCAAATGCTGAAATGGCCCCTTGTTTTGCTTCTGGACGTAAATGTAGTTTCACTATGCGCACATTTTCTTGAACTCCCCTTTTGCTTGTAATGGTAGGAGTAGAGGTAAGGGCGAGTTACTATTTTGTTAGCAATGCAGAAAAATCATACTCTCAATTCGTTTAGAGATGCAAATAAGTTTTCTATAACTCGGAAATGAAAATGTCTATTTTTTCAAATATTGTTAATCTCGCGATTTTTTAAAATTTATTTTTATTTATTTATTCTAAAATTTCACTCATCCTTCAACAATTTATAGTTAATATGTCAGGAAGGGATTCTGGAACTCAAGGAAACGTGCGCAGATAATCTTCTCCCCCATATGCCACATACAGTTATTACTGTTTTTGGACAAAATCTAAATAAACTATTTTTGCATAATACTCTGACGGCCTTCTCAGGCCACCAAATCTTTCTTAGTTCTGACTCATAGCAAAAAGTATTTTCAGCTACAACCAGTGCTAAAGTTCACCTCCTTTATTGTTACTCTCTCAACTCGATGCGCTCTCGGCGCCCCCGCAACCATACACCTAGCTCTCTCTTATCATTGCAAGTACGTATTACAAGGTAATATAAACAGAAAAACAATTCAAAATGTCTCTGAAATCCAGGACCAAAGGAAAGTCAGATCATCACAGCCAAATTCCGGTGAAAATGGGATATTAGGAAACCTCTTTTGGAAGGCAGCATAATTTGTAGAATTTTCTGGTAAGAAGAAGAAACAATGGAACATGTTTTTAAATGTATGCAACAACAACAAAAAAACAACAACAACAAGATAGATCAAATACTAGATGAAGGAGGAGAGGGAGAGGCCATTTTGAGACTTATAGAAGAAACGAGGAAGGAGGAAGAGTAAATTTTATATAACATTTTTAGTATCTGTATAATATTTTGTATTGTACTCGTATATTTTGTATAACATTTGCATTTTAAGGATGGAAGGCGCGAAAAAAAATAATTCTACCAACACCGTCGCCACCACAACTACTGCTACCCCAATCAGGAGCCCTATCCCTACCTCTACCGCTATAGCTACCACTATCACTATCACTACCTCTACCACTATAACGTCCACTACCACTAGTAAACCAGTGGCTCAGATGTTCGCATAGGTAATAAAACGAGTGCTCAAACAATATATCTTTTATCACTGAAATTTTGTCTCTTTTGAAAATAATAGATTCTACCGAGCAATCCATCACCTGTGACATAAAGGACTTCTGTACCCGCATGGCAAACGATGTGTTTCTAAGCACCAGTATGGGAGTGCAGTGCGACTCCATGCAAAAACCTGAGAATGAAATATACCAAATGGGAAAACTTCTCACGGATTTCAACACGTGGAGAAGTTTGGTGTTTCATGGATACTTGGTAATACCCAAACTGATGAAGGTATGTTGATCAAAAGAATATATATATATATATATATATATATATATATATATATATATATATATATATATATATTAGGCTAAATCGAAAAAACAGATGTCAATGGCTTAGCGAAAAAAGTTAGGTTTCGATGCAAGAACAACTTCGGCATCAATAAAACAGTTTTTAAACATGTTTACGGGAGCTAAAAGCTCCATAAACACCCCATTTTCACCTTATTTCGCTACTTTTAGAAAATAACGAATAAATATAATTTAATGCTCCTTTTATTAACGGAGTTTTGGCTGAGGTGGTACCCGCGTATTTCCGCAACAATTTTATGATGAACAAACAGTAGTTATTTAACTGATACAGTGTGCCAAATTAACCCGAATATGGCCAATTTTACGTTAAAACCATATAAGCAGCCATTTTTCAAATTTGAGAAACCGGGTAACAGCCGAGATGCTCCGATTGTAGCGACGATTAGTAGTGCTTATTGCCGTGCGAAAGGCTACGAAGAGTTACGGACGGTTGCGATATTCTGATCAATTGATTGATTCACGTTTGTGGGCGCGTCGACTACTTAGGTTGTAAGGTAGTGCATGTTTCTATCGAGGGAGGTGGCTAAGATCTCACCCCGCTGGATGGCGAGATCTGTTGTCGAAATACAGGTCCGGCATTTTTCCCCGGACGGGGATTTCCCAAACCAGATATTTCCCGCCAGCGATGCACCGCCCTAGCTGTGACGAGCTCTACGCTCGCGACTGGTCTCCCGACCCGTGTGGTAGTGCATTGCATGTACGTGTGAGTGCGTAAGTACAGGGTAAAGATATGGCAAGGAAGGAAAGATCGAAAGCTGTCCGTGACCCGTTTGTTAGGGTACTGCTCCGGCATTCGCCTGGCGTTGATCGGATAAACCTGCCGAAACTAAACGAAAAACTGCCGATCAAAACAGCCAACCGCGAGAATTCTCCTCCAGGCAGCACGACTGAACTTCACCTAGCTGTTTACCTAGCGTCGAAAACCCTGCCATCGTCGGGTCTCGAACCCCTAGCTCTTCTCGGTCAGATGCACTGCAGTGGCGTCAATTGATTCCCTGAGCCAACTAAGCATGTCCGGTGAATCGGAACTAATCAAACCACATTGCTTATCACAGAGCTGAGACAAAATATGAAGCCCTGTTTGAGGAAAATCTAGTTGCAAGACATCGTCTCTTTCCTTCTGTCGTAGCTGATGACTCTGCCCATACTCGATAGAAAGGCGACGGATTTCTTCGGTGGCCTGGTGCGAGAGGTGACAGCGGAGAGACGGGCGAAGGGGACCATTCGCTCTGACCTGCTGCAATTCCTGATGGACGCTCGTCGTAGGAGAAAATCAGTGCACAGCTGCGAAAGGCGGGACAGCGGAGATAATATAGGTAAGTTGAAAGAATCCGGATTTATTTATTTATTAAATACAATAATATCCACAAACCTAATATTACACTTCTTATTTATAACGCAAGTTATAAGAACAAACAAAATCCATTAAAATTACGAGTAATTTCTAATAATATTTCTGTCACTGCAGTGTTTCAATCCTAAACCTTATATTTTCTTTCTTTAATTTACTAGGCAAGTTATTAAACATCCTAATACTATGACACAACAATGATTTTTTGTTTCCCTTTTAAAATATATTACACGTTTACAAAAAAAACTTCGTCACGTGTAGTGAATATTATTATTATTATTATTATTATTATTATTATAATATTATTATTATTATTAAACTCTTAATATATTCAATAATAATAATAATAATAATAATAATAATAATAATAATAATAATAATAAGGGTATGTTTCTGTATGTTTTTGTGTGTGAGTGTGTATTTAATCCTCATCATGGCACCCCAACCCCACAGGGCTTACAACCTTGGGGTGCAATATGGAATCAGCATTCAAAATCCTGATCCCCGCAACAAAAAAGTAACGTGCACCAACCCCGATGTAATAATAATAATAATAATAATAATAATAATAATAATAATAATAATAAGAAGAAGAAGAAGAAGAAGAAGAAGAAGAAGGAGAATATTTATTATGGCAAATGAGCTTACTCTCAGTGGTAGTTAAGCAAACAAAAATACATTCGACTTCTGTTGGAGTGAACTCGGATATAGTGAACTTAAGTCACTGGTCCCGTTTAACTTAAGCATAATAAAATTAGGTTATTGTAAACCTGATCCTCGGTTATATTATTAAACGACCTGAAAATTAATTCCCTCTTGGAAAATAATATATTGCCTCAGTGCCACACATTCCAACAGTAAGGAGCTTGAAAATTCGTTTGTGCTGTAAATATTAAATAGTAATTATTTGCTGATATCGTAAATAAAGCAATTGATATATATATATATATATATATATATATATATATATATATATATATAGAGAGAGAGAGAGAGAGAGAGAGAGAGAGAGAGATAGATAGATAGATACATAGTTATTTAAAAAATCAAGCACATTGATAATTTCTTTAAGATGATATACTTACGAGTACATATCACGAGCGAAAGTAATTTATTTCTGTTTCGCAAATGAATATGTCTATTTTGCAATGAATACACTGCCCAGAAAGTAAAGTTCATTACAGTCTTAAAAGAAACTAGAACACAGAATGTAAATTAAATGAAAGTGGGGTTTGTGTTTCAGAACTGACCGATGAAGATATGGTGTCGCAGGTGGTAATTTTTCTTTTTGCTGGTTTCGAGACACTATCCACTGCGCTATCTTTTACTCTATATGCTTTGTCTCATCACCATGATGTTCAAACTCGTTTACAGGTCGAAATAGACCAAGTTATGACCAAAACTAATGGAAAATTTACTTACAAAGCAATACAGAGGATGAAGTATCTTGATAGTGTTATTAAAGGTAAGTTTCTCTTGAGTACTCAAGTTTTAATAAGAATTATGAAAATAAATCATTACTGTTCTTCTCATTAGAAGTAAGGAGATAGAGATAGAGAGAGAGAGAGAGAGAGAGAGAGAGAGAGAGAGAGAATGAGAGAGAATGAGAGAGAGAAAGAGAGAGAGAGAGATATGAAACTGCGTGTTTACAACAAAAACAATAAACTATTATTTTGAATTATTATTCCTTTCCCACGGTAAAATGTAACACTTCAACATTGATTAGCAGTATTTTTTTTGAATGTTAGAGAAAACGTATCCATCTTCATAATTATTTCAAATGTGATTTAAATATTTCACATTACTTACTTATCGTGTATAGACCCCCTACAATGAACGCAGTTTATTTAAACACCCTTAATTCCCCTATTCTGGCTATTCACAATACCCTGCAATGCATTACAGAATCGCTGCGAATGTATCCACCGGCAGTAGAAACCGCGCGGTTCTGCAGCGCTGATACAACAATAACGTCTGCGTCAGGTGCCATCGTTTTTCCGAAAGGCAGTGATATCTTAATACCTATTATGGGTTTGCACTACGATCCTCAATACTGGGAAGATCCAAACAAATTCAACCCTGATCGGTTTAATGAAGATAATCAACGAAAGATCCAACATTTTACCTACATGCCTTTTGGTGCTGGACCTCGCATGTGCATTGGTGAGTAAATTTGAGGCATAGTCAGATATACAATGGAATTTTTGTGCAAATAACTATTGATCCAGTTATCAGGTTCCTTCGGAAGTGCAATACTCGCGGAGGAGTGCACAAAAGAGGCACATTACTGGCGACCTTAGTCATCTATAAAGGCTGTAAATTGTTGTCTCATCCAAGAATCTATCGTTCTTTCCTATGCTGTAGGTGAGCCTGTGTGAGGAAGCAAAGCTCTAGATTTGGTGAGGGATTAGAAATCTTCACCGGTTTTATGAATCTTAGCTGCATCTACATTGTTAGTGCCAAAGCTGTAGCGTTTGATCCTCCCCGCCCTCACAATTCACTTAGGCGCTCACCACTTGGGGTCAGATATGCCATGCCTGCGACCGCCTCTCAGGGGAAGTTGAGTAGGGACACATGCCGGCTGCGGAACAATTAGTACGACTTCTTTCTTGACCAACCTTAGAACTATTATTAGTTTATGATTGGCTAAGCACCCCATGCAGTGAAAACCACGGGTGAGAAGATCTGTTGGAATTAACAATTAGGCGATAATGGATCTCAATCGGAGGGACTTGCACTGTGGAAAGGGATGAAATCCGGATGTAGTGGTTGCATCCAATTAGGGGGTCTTAAAATCTTTTAATACACTGAAAAATACAACTTAGTAGTTTCTTAATTGACCTCAGCTGAGGATCTTGTACTAGCATTGGTAGCCAACGTTTAGATCGTCATGTCGCCTCCTTTTTCAGGACAAAATCCAAAGGTCGCAGAATGATGACCCAAACGTCTCCCAAACTTTTATGAATTTTCTAACTCGGGCCACGAAGCCTATGTTTTGAGTTATGATATAGCTAAAGCATCCAGCCTTATCGGCTGAGGAGGCTCAGTTCAACAACTGTTGTCACTGCAGCGTCCTTGACCTGGAGGACCTAGGGTTCGAGAGCGGATTTTCGTCACTATCTAGAAAACTAGGACGAATCCAAGCGGTCTGGAGTAAATCATAGAGAGAGGCTGCTCTTACCGTGTTTTCTCCTCTCCCTCTACACACATCTATATTGACAAACCTCTCACTACCACACATGCCGATCTCACTTTGTAAGCGAGGAAGGAACCTCGACACATCCCGAAATATAACGTGCGCTACACTTACGGGATCAACAACCACAACCTTTTCCTCGCTCGGAAATACGCTATATACTCCTATTTAATTGCAGTGACCCTTGAAGGTCACTAGCTGAATGGAGAGGGAGACATTCAACCAATAGGGGGCTTCGTCTCGACATAAATTTTCGGTACTGAAGCTCCTTATTGAATGACAGTGACTCGCTCCCCTTCCAGCTCGTGGCGTCGAAGAAACACCACATTTAAACGGAGAATAGTCATGGCTGGCGTCCTGATGGGCGCGTGGTGTTGCAGGGGAGCGGTTGGCGCTGCTGGAGATGAAGATGGCGCTGGTGCATCTGCTGGCGCGGTTCGAGCTGTTGCCCAGCGCGCGCAGCCCGTACCCGGCGCGCTTCCAGGCGTGCTTCAACCTGACGCCCGAGGGCGGCTTCTGGTGCCGCGCGCGCCCGCGGCCCCCAAGGCCACTCGGCCGGCAGCGCCCCTCGGAGGCAGGCCAGCTACCAGCACCGGCTTAGTCGGCGGGACGTGCTCGGGAGACAAGCTTAAGCCTGTTTTACACGGTCATTTTAGCATCCTTTTTTCATCATTTTTCTGTACAGTAAATGGATGGAAGAAGGACGTTCGTTTCTACGCAGTATGTTTCGGTGCCGAAACTGGATGAGTGTTTTACACGGACATTTCTGTCTTTGTACGTAATCATGAAGAAAACACTTCCTCCGGACGTCGCATACAGCGCTGAAGTTCAAACATTTGAACATCGCATCTGTGGTAACAAATTAAGTTAGGCTAGGTCAGGACTGAGCTCGGATGCGACAGTATTAGAATACAGTGCATAATTTATTTCTCTTTACATAACCACTTCACATTATAATTCAACACATTAGAACGCTCTCAGGCAACTACAAAGTTATCACATCGCTCCACACGCATATCAAACTAGAGAAACTTCCGAGAAGTGCCGCCAGGAGCGCGGTAGTCAAACTGGATGAAATCTGTACCGAAAAATGAAGCATGCGTCATTTTTTCGTACAAATTACATCCAGTCTGGCCTGTATCTTTTCTGTACCGGCGAAAAATGATGAAAAAATGATCGTGTAAAACAGGCTTAACTCTGCTTAATGTAATGCGTTCTTAAGAAGGCAGGGGAGCTACTAACATCTCTTCCTCTTCTTCTTCAACTGTAAGGGTTAGGACTGGTGAGCTGTTCAGTCCTCAGTATGGATCACTCCACCTCACAAGGTTTATTGGCTTTCCACATCTAACGCGTTGGGTCTTATATATATTAGACATTTGTTGGAATTTTATCTAATTCCGTATCTGCATCTCATTCTTAAACATGACAATCTGAAGTCGAAATACTTAGCTACTAACACCTCTTCGTTTTCTTCTTCAACAGTAAGGGTTAGGACTGGTGAGATGCTCCATCCTCAGTATGGATCACTCCATCTTACAAGGTTTATTGGCTTCACACATCCACCTCATTGGATCTTACATTTTTGGTTTCTTCAGGTATTGTTGGAATTTTATCTAATTCCGTAGCTACATCTCATTCTTAAACATGACAAGTTGAAGTCGAAATACTTAGTTACTAACACCTCTTCCTTTTCTTCTTCAACTGTAACGGTTAGGACTGGTGAGCTGTTCAGTCCTCAGTATGGATCACTCTAAAGGTTTCAGTCAGTGGGTATTATTGCTTTGATTAACATCCGCTCACATTGATTAACTTCAGTTGTGTTCATTTGTATTCTGTGTATGAATTTCTGTATTATTATTGTTATTATTAGCAGTAATATTATTATTTTTATTATTATTTATATAATCTATACCTCATGTTTCATAATTCATTTAAGTATGTAGATGTCAATACAGTTTAGGCAATGAAATAAAACAGAAACATTACAAACATTTTTTGCCATGTGTCACTATGTAATGTGTGAGTAAACGGAACAAAGCATTGCTTTATTAACAATCAAAATTTTATTATTATTAACTAAAACAATTAATAATTTGTGTTGATGAAAGTAGCAAAGTAGTAATCGATAAGACAATAGAAACGCAATCAGATGAATGGAGAAATGTGTTGACGATGGACGTGCTCAGTCTGTTTTTCAAGAGTTGAAGTCCGGCTCCAGATAATAACCAATCAACGCATGAATTCGGTAGTGCAGAAAGAAGATATAAAAAAGGAACGCCAAGGGGGTCAAGCCTTCGTAGACTACGAAAGTAAAGAGGTCAGGTTGGTAACAGATGGGGTCAAGACGTCACATAGCTTAAATGATAAGTATAAATGTCTACGCGTGGATGCTGTACTTTGTCGTTTATGCCGAGGAGGCTACCATCGTGTTTGAATGTCCGTGCTTCTACAACTATTTCACTTATGTCTGTCCTACTCAATACTCACTAAGTGAGTCGTGAATTAACCGGCTATTACAGCACTTCTTGTGTTATTACTTCTGATAAGACATGAACATGGTCATAAATATGTTGAAGGAATAGGAAATAATGAATGAAGTAATTTTCATAGTTTGGAAAGGTGAGCAATTTGAGTACGGCGGAAATATGATACGGCGTCATGTAATGTATGAAATGAACTACTGCATTGTCATTTATTGTATTTTTTGTAATTGGTCTAATCCTAAGATCTCTTTTGGACAGGTGTGTACTGCCCATACAACACATTCATTCCTTTATTTTAGTTTTTTTGGTTTAGCTAACGAGGGAAAAAATTGAAATTTGAGTACATTTATTAACAAATTACCAAAGAATAGTAATATAAGAAATTTGAAATAAGAACGGTAGATTTCATAATTTTTTATGTACTATTTTCAGTTGTTTTGTAAACCTTTTCCTATTCATAATTTTCCGTAATATGTTCCCACTAATATTATCGAAGACTTTCTCATTATCTAGAAATAGAAAATGCATTGCTAAGTCAAATTTTCTTCTCTTTTGAATTGTTGTTTGCAACTAACACTAATTAACAATTAAAAAATTAATGTATCTTAATAACTTATTATTTTATAGGACATTCATATCACACAAATATAATAAACGTACATATATTTACATTAATTTGAATAGACTGCCATTATCTGTCGCAGTTGTCTTTTACTCAGAATAACCTAAAAATCTCTAATATGTTAATCAACATTACATACTAATGGCTATTCAGTTTTATATCCTTACCTTTACTCAAGGCTATGATTGGAATCGAGGAATGACGTAGTATTCACTCTTCGGATAACCAAAGGAATACTCAATGTTTTTTAGTACTTGACGATAAAACTTAATCTTTCACGTTTACATTCGTATTATCATGGACCTGATGAGGGTCTTCAATAACTTTTTTTTTGTACATAGATTTCAAAGTATAAGACTGGTAAGTATAAGTATTGGTATATAGTGATATTATATCAAAGGTTTTCATGTTCATTTGTTTTACTTGGCAATATTTCGACTTATGAGGGCAGTTCCATTACAAAAAAATGAATTGCTCTTGAAATAATCTTAGTATAATTTACTGGCACTTTTTCACAGAAAATATTTGATTTTCCGAAAAACAAGTCATTTGAAGCACTTTCACCCACTATTACACTAAATACAATAGTGATAACTAATTGCTGGAAATGTGCATATTAATGGTGGGAGAAATCTTTAAAAATTACATTTGTGTAATTTTCCAAAAAACACTGAAATTAAGTTTACATCATATTAAAAAAATGCAATTAGCATTTTGAAGAGAAAAGTTTGAAGGAAAAATTTGGAACCGTTTTTGAGAAAAGGCATTTGAGCGTTTTTGTAAATGCGAAATTTTGAGGTAGTTTTGACAGAAAACGGTCGAGTTTTTGAGAAGCTTTATGTGACATTTAAAGCACATGTATTAATAAATGTAATAATGTGAACAAATTGCTACTAATATAAATATTAATGACGTGAGAGACAAGTCAAAAAAATTACATTTTTATACTTTTTTAAAAACAAAAGAATAGATAACTTTGAGATAACTTTTATTTGCCATTTTTATTTTTTCGGGTGGGGTGGGGGGAACGTTTCAGCATTGTTCCGGGTCCAAAATTATCTAGCTTGTCCGGCACTGTTGACGAGAAGGGCGGCATTTTCTGTCTTGTTCACATCAGGTAAGACAGTCTTCCTCCCGATTTATTTCACGAAATGTAGAAAACCTGCCATGAATAGATACATCGGTAAAATAATCTTGAAAACTTGTCCACACAGTTTTTTGGGGTCGACATTTACGGACACAGATTTTTTTCAGAATTCTCAAATTCCATAGTGGCGGATCTAAGATGGTGGATTGAAAAGAAACTGAAAATATTTTTAAAGGTGAGCTATTTGAAGAGTAGAATCATAGATGGACAGTTCTTTACAAAACTTCATTCGGCGGATTAAGGATTAAGGAGGGGTAAGGTTCCGGATATGGACAGAGTGCACGACGAATGGTGAATTTTGCTCTACCATTCTTAGGAGATTATTGTTGCAACTGTATCATCAGTGCCTAAAAATCAGATATTTTCCAACTCAATAGACAACGGCAAAAGTGGCTCCTAAGGAACAAAACTGATAGAGATCCGCCTGCCTCAAAGGCAATATACCCACAGCTCTGTTGCATTTCTTGAAAAAGTGCTGAATATGATGCCCATTACTAATGTGCAGGTTCACATTAAAGCAAAAGGCGACTTTTCGCCAATTCCGTTTGGGTTTAGATCCAAACTATCAGGAAAAGATGTATCAGTAACTTCATTGCTTCACGTGCTTCCAAATAAAAATGATTTGAAGTATTAACGTGTGATTTTTGTGGACATTAAAAGGGCATTTGACAATGCCATTCATACCATTTTTACGGCAAGTATTAAAAGTGTACTGACAAATTCCTAAAGATCTATACAGACTTTATCAAGGGTTCTTCATGATCACGGAGGCTACGATCTAAGACACTAGTTCCTAAGTTAAGCATGAACTGACGATAGAATCTCCGCAAGGGGTCCAATTGTGAACTCATTTATTGGAACATGACAATTGAGAATCTGTTGCGCAAGCTGACCGAGAAGGGAATGGGAGAAGTGGCATTTGCTTGTGACCTTGCCCTGGTTATTCGGGGCAAGTCACGAGAAGATGCCACCTAAAGAGAGGATGCAGCCTGGATGGCAGAAAAGTGTAAAATGTAGAAGCTCGAAGTATGGGAAGAAAAGACGAGATTTATGTTCATGTTAAAAAGAACCAGATAGCACCTGAAAGAAAGTTACCGTCAAACATCGCCCTTCAATTATTACATTCAAAGTTAGAAGATTAAAGCTATACAGATTCAAAAGTATCAGGGGGTATTGATCCACAGTTGAAGTACAACACACACACACACACACACACACACACATTTCCTGCGTGTGTCAAAAAAGGAACTAGCCTGTTTACGAAGCTGGAGTATTTCTGGCGTAACAAGACATACTACGTTTTATGACTAAAGCCTTAGAGAATCTGTGAGGGCGCCTTCATATGGATGATCATCTGCATCTGTTGGGTGCATCTGCATCTGCAATGTGCATCTGCTTGGGTTAATGAAGTCAATAAATTGTTAATCAAAAAAGAACTTCAAGGAGCACTGCTTCCTCCACAGAGGCACTACAGATGACCTCTCGGGAACTACCAATGAATTTGCCGGAGCAACGTATGGACGCCAAGTACAAGATTTGGAAGGGTAAGCTCGAATTCGTTCTTGATCAAGAAGATACCCTGCATTGGTTAACGGATTAATATAAAATACAAATGCTAAAGCAATTGATGTGTGGCAGCTCAGAAAGGAAAATGAGCTATGCTTTTCTACCAAAAGTAAAAGCAAAAACCGTCTATATAAGCATTTTAGGACGTTAGAGCAATTGCCCTGTTGATTAATGGGCAGCATCCCTTTAAATAGCAATTATGTACATCTAATTTCACCAAGGTCCGATCAATGTAAGTTGGTGATTGACGGTTGTGGGTGACGTAAGGAGGCCTCTCCCGTTTTCATGGAATCCGCAAATCAGAGACTGAAAACGTGCCGAGTCAGGTCGCTAAGTAGCCACTGACGAACCGTAAACAAATGAGCAACGTGCAGCGAATCTTCCCTCCCGCCTGCCGCGTTTCTGCCTTCGCCGCGCGCTCATCCTGTTCTTTTTTAATTTTAACATTTATTTTCACTGAAGTGGAAAGGCTAGTGAATGAGGGAGTAACCAATGCACCAGCGGCAGAACGGCAGAATATCTGTGAACATACCAAAAAAGTGATTACAGATTCTTGGGAGAACGTAATCGTGATTGAAAACGACGTTGAAGAACAATTAGCTGATGGTCAATGAGTGATGGTCTTTCAGACATTGGCTATGACAATGAAAGTGACAGGGACTCAGATATTATTGGCGTATTTCCCATCGCCATATAAATTAGTGTTATTAATTTAAATACGAAACCTGTTTTACATAAAAAGCTTTATACAATATGAGTCTCTGATTTGGTTATTTTTATAAGTAGAGACCGGATTTTAATGTAATTACATTTTTTTTTGTTCTTCTACATACCGATCCCAAATTTGTAACCTTGGCGAATCGCCGTCGTCCTAACACAATGTCAATTTTTTTGTTACTTAGTTTTTACATATTCAGTAGAATATTACATATTTGACATATTTTGTTATTTTCACAAAATCTTTTTTTATTCTATCAATTTTCTTAAATTCTATTACTATTTTTTTAAAAGAAGTATTCCCAAAAAATCGGCATTTCCCCTACATTGTTACTGTTGCTGTCTACTCCAGGTCTCCTACATGAAGGCGCGTGATGTTCTCACAGTCCGGCGGCACCTGTCTCAGTTACCTCAGGGGCGGGAGGTGCGCGTCAGCGCCTGAGATCATTTTCACCCTTTGCTGTGAAAAGTATCACTGACGTGTGGATCGTGACCTTAAACCTTAATTTTTTTAAGAAACATTGGCGGTCGCCGACGTTTAACATTCAATGAGAGTTCATGCTGCAGTGATTGTTTGCTGGTCGTAGTTATCGCCAGTCTGTGTGATGAATGATGTTAATATATTTTTATTTTGCGTCTAGTCAGAATACGGACCTGGAAAGCAATAGATGAAATTTCTACCACTGACGGAAAAGTTGTGCGCTGTAAAGTGTGCAATGTGTGTTATATTGTTTTTAAAATTTGTTTAGGAAACTTTTTAGCACAGTAACTTAGTATTATGTAAATGTCTTTTCAAAGTAGTGATTTTAATATTACATATTATATTCAATTTTACATATTTATAACATTGTTTTACTGTTTTTATTACACATTTATGTACATTTTTTTTGACATTTCATACTACATATTTTTCCGGACTCTATTTATAAGTATTTATTTTAAGTGTTGATTTGTCGTATCCCGGGAACACGTGGTCAGTAATACACAACCTGGCTGTCATCGCCTTCCACCACTCGCAACTATCAATCACCTACTTCATTTAATCGGCCTCTTAATTCCCCCTTAAGTGAGTGTGGAGAGAAGAAGAAGCAATGAATCTCCTCTGTCAATCTCCTACTTTGGATAAGTTACGCATTGAAGTAGAGGGTAAGGTATGCAAGAGGTTAAGATTGATCTCCCGCACTTGATTTAAATTAAACGATATTACAATGAATTGGAAACAATGGGGCACAAAACAGTTGTAGTGTAAGGTTGCAATATTTGAGATGTATAATGCGATATTCTATAAAATAATGCTAGACCGGAAGGCAAATGAGATTATTTAAAACACAGATTTATTATCAATACTAGACGTACGTAACAGCAAAACTGTTGAAAAAAACACACACAAAAAATCCAGAAAATAGCAGGCCCACTGCAGGTAAATAACAGATCGCGCAGAATTCACTCTCGATCGCATGCAATCGTATGTAATGGATGGATGCTAACGTAACAACGTATGGATACTATGCAATAAATTAAATATTTTAACAAAAAACAGTACACTTACAATTATTTATATGCTAATAATATCAAAAAAGACATCTCTCACACGGCCTGAGGCTACATAATTTACCGTCAATTTACGCATATATTCGAAATTATATTCCCGAAAATGTAATATATTTCATTTCCATTTGAACGTCCGACTACCGGCGCGGCGCGCGTCAACTCCGCGCCAGGCCACGGGGGCAGACGAGCAGTGGCGACCTTGAGCGGTGCAGTGCGGCCCGGACGTGACAACCGCCCGCTGCGTGGGAGAGATAGAGCCGGCGTGTGAGCGCGGGCGGGCGGGGCGGGCGGAGGGGAAAAAAACAACCACAGGCTGGATAGAGGGAGCCGCGGCGGGGCGCTCAATGGCGTCCCGCAGCTGTGGGCGCCGGCGCGAGGC